AGAAGGCAGGGCACAGATGCTCCTGTCACTCTCCTGCTTAACGCCTGTCCATGATTCCTAGGGTTTGCCTGGTACAATCTGGCCTCTGACTATCTTCCTGGCCGCCTCTTCTGCAGTTTCCCCCAACACTCACCCTGGACAGCCTTCATCATCTTTATCTATGTCTAGTTCTTCCACAAGCACCATGTCCCTTCCCACCTCCCTGCAAGGCAATGCTGTTCCCCTCAGGGGCACCATCACCCCTTCTTGCCCGCTTGCCTTGCTCCTGCTGGTGCCTCGTCCCAGTCAGTCAGACACGTTCCATCTAGGCTCCTCCGGTGTGCCCCCCACACCTCCTCCAGTGGGCATCTGTCACACTGCCCTGAAGTCACTGTCCACCTCCCTGAGAGTAAGGCTGTGCATTCCCAGCATCTAACACAGGCATATAGGAATCTCGGGGAGCAGAGAGTAAATGAGGGTAAGTTGTGTTTTCAGGTTACTTTGGCCAGGTGCGAAAGACTTTTTAGAGAATGGAGAGCCTCAGTCAGGACAGTTAGAGAGGGGACTATTCAGTACCAACCCAAAGACTAGAAGGTTGCCACAAGAATTGAAATCCAGGAATTGACAGGCTAGAAATTACCAAGAGATGCCTTACCACTTGGTTAAAATCCAGATTCTACTGTATACCAGCTGTCAGCCTTTGGGCAAGCTATTTGACCTCTCTGAGCCTCAGTTCCTTCATCTGTACAATGGAGATGATTATAGTTCTAACTCAGGGTTGCTAAAAGCAGTAAAATGAGCCAATGTATATAAGGCACTTAACACAGCACTTAACACAGGGACTCACTCAGTAAATGTTGGCAATTACTATTGTTATTATTACTCATGGAACACCTGTGCTGAAAAGGCCTTTAGAGATCATCTTGACGAACTCCTGCCTTTTATAGCCAGGGAGCCAACGCAGAAAAGAGGACGGTCTCACCAGCACTTCTAGCTGGCCCTCGCAAACCCGGAGCAGGACCAAGTCAACCGGGTCTCCATCAGGGCCACTGACAGGAGCTGGTGAGGGAGCTGCTGGGAATCAGCTGATGTGCTGGCAGGGTTCCAGCTTGGAGTTCCTAATGACTTGGAGCCTGACAGAGTCCCAACATCTCGGCTCTGTTTCAGGCAAAATCGCTGAGCATATTTTAGGATCAGCAAAAACCCACAATGCCGTTGGCTGAGTACTTTCCCTCTCCTCGTTGAAGCCCAGGGGTATTTTCTAGGAAATTGAGTCCATCTGTTTCTGATTCATTTGTACTTAACTCATCACCAGGCTGTTTTGTAAGAGCCCTTTGATGTGAAAGCTGCCTTATTCCATAAGCCTCTCTAAGCCTTTATTTAGTCAACAGAAGGTAAATGGGTCTCTCCAAAGAGGCCGGAGGCAGCTTCTTGATCTCCCTCAACACATGGGCCATGCGAAAGGGAAGCATTGCCCTAAGAGTTCCACTCTTGGAGCCTGTCAGGGCAAAGTGTCCACTCCCTGACTCTGGCCCAGCCTATAGCAAGGCCTCCCTGACCACTTGCCACCTCTCCTTGCCAGGCACTGTAACCCGGCGTACTCCTCATCCACCACTCACAGCCTGTCCACAGGGATTTACGATTTCCTGTGTGTTGCTCCAGTTTCTTGAAGTTGATTTCAAGTTCCTTGAGGATGAGAGGCCAAATTCCTAATTCTTTGTGCCCCCACCACCCTGGCACCATGCCAGCACACAGTCCCAGAAACCATTACTTTCAAACCAAAAACCCATGAAAAAGATCCAACCAGTATAAGGATTCTCAAAGGGACAAGGGGTAGAATATTTAAAATGCAAGCTGCCATACACATAGTAAGCAGCTCACAGAACTATTGGTTGAACTGAATGTACCAGGGATGAAGGGCAGAATCTATTTCCTCTTCCCTCTGCCACCTGGACAAAGCAGTCCACGAAGTCCCAAAACTGCCGTTTCATAGAGCAAGATGAAAAAAAAATCAGAGAGCCCCCTATCTGAGAGGACAAATGAAACTCTTCACTAAATTCAAGAGTGACTGAGTCAAAAGCTGCTCCTGGGGAAAGCCGGGGTATTTCAGGGGGTGCCCCTAACTTCGGGTTGATTTCAAGGCTGCACAATCTAGAGGAATCTCTTTTAGAGGTATAATCTTGGTAGGGCCCCCCACTAGGCTGGTCATATTTTTTTATGTAGTAAAGATGTACTAGGAGTCTCTCAAAGGCAGGGGATGGTGTATGAAGCCCAGGTGTTCTCAAATTGGAGCATGCATCAAAAAATTATCCTCTAAGGGATAGTTAACACAGATCATTGGGTTTCACTCCCGGAGTTCCCGACTCAGTAGGTCTAGAGTGGGATCCCCAAAATTTGCATTTCTAACAAGTTCTCAAGTAATGCTGGTGCTGTCGGTCTAGAGAGCACACTTTGAGAATCACTGGTCTAGCCATTCATTTAGTCCTGAGGTGAAAACTTCAGAGGTGGGGGGTAGCTACCTACTAATTTTGTTTTATTTCTCTTTTTCTTCAAATACTGTGGCTTAGGACCAACAACCCAAAGATAGGTGATAGTGGTGATGATGCACCACTCTGAAGCAGGCACTGGGCTTGGTACCCTACAGAGACCACCTCATTCAGTCCTCACAATTACCCTGTGAGGTAGACACTTTCTCCACTTTACAGATGAACCTCAATGGTGCAGAGAGGTGAAGCAAAGTTCAAGGTCATATACAGCTTAGCTCCGGAGCTGGTACACAGCAAGCGGCCAACATTCTCACCAAATGAGTGCATCTGTGAACACAGATGGTAAGGGGGGGACTTGAACCCAGGTCTGACTTCAGAGCTCACATTCTACCACATTAGCAGGAAGCATTAAAGGAGGTAATGCGAGCTCTGGGAAGGAAAGAACTAAAGCTTCTTTCTTTTCATTTTCTTTCTTTCTTCTTCTTTTCCTTGCCTCCCCTCCCTCTCCCTTTTCCTTTCCTTTTTTTCCCCTCTGCCTCCCTTCCTTCCTTATGGATTTTATGAAAGTAGTGACATGACTAAAGCTGTTCTGAATCTAAAGTATTGTCAAGATGGGAGCAGCGATAAAAAGAAATGGTAAGGAGCCGGCTCCAAAGGGGCCTTGAGAGAGAAGTGGGACCACCTGCTGGAGGAATTGAAGATGCCCAGGTGTGGGCCCACATCAGCCCTAGGGAATCATCACGGCCTCATTAGAGACGAGGCATCTAGAAATAATTCAGGAAGTTGGTGTGGAGGAAGTTCAGTTGTTTTGGCTGGAAAATGTTTTTTACAAAAAGATGTTCTTAGCAATATGGCGGGGGGGGGGGTGGGGAGGGAAAGGACTTGTTTTGACTTTTTATCTTTTTTCAGTTCTGTTTGAATGTTTTATTGTGCACCTTTCACATGTTATCACTATAAATAGAGCACATTAATTTATGCTTATATTGAAAAATTTGGACGCTACAGATAAGCAAAAGAAAAAATTAAAAATATGTAATTCCATGGCTGAGAAATAACCTCTGATAACAATTTCATTTATATCCACTTTATCCACTTAGTTTATTTCTCTGTAAACATTTTTTGCAAGAGTAGATTCACTTTAATCTTACTATCTTGTAACCTGTTTTTTTGCTTTTACATCATGACCATGATCCTTTCTATTACCATCTTCTTCAATATTAGTTTCAATGGCTGCATGCTATTCTGTTAGATACCTATACCATAATATATATATATATATATAACTAATTCCCTTATTGCCCGATACAAGACTGTTTTCAATTATTTGCTAATATAAATTTTAGTTTATTTTGGACTAGTACATTTTATTAATCATAGGTTTACACATTATAAATCCCATTTGAATCAAGAGATGATATTTTAAGATTCCTCCTGCTTTAACATAGGGTAAAAAATAAAATATTCTTGGAAATGTTTCAGTGGGGGTTTGATTTTGTAATACTTTCTAATTTACGTAGGTTCCGTTAAGACCTTTCTAATTGAAATTTTATGAAATGTGGATTATATCTCAGTAACAAACAAACAAAACCCTTTCTAGGACACAATAACTGCCATGTGTCCTCATGCAAGTGTAACCCGTGGTGTATCCTTTTTCTCAGACACTGGTGCAACAACACTCAATTCTCAGGGTGTCCTGAGTTTCAAAACAAGATGATGTATGTGAAGAAATGAATGCTGGAAACTTTAGTGATGTTCTTTATTCATAATTACCAAAGCAGGAAATAACCCTGTCCATCGGTCACCAGTAAACATATAAAAAACAAAAACAAACAACAAACACACAACTAGGATGTATCCACACTATGGAATACAGGCCAGGCTTAAAAAGGAAAAAAACTACTGACATGTCGATAACATAGATGAATCTGGAAAACATCATGCTCAGTAGAGGAAGTGAGGCACAAAAGGCTATATACTGAATGATTCCGTTTACACAACATTCTGGAAAAGGTAAACTGTAGAGACAGGAATCGGGTCAGTGGTTGCCAGGACTGGGGGTGAGGGGAGAGGGCGGACTATAAAGACTCATGAGGGAACTTTTTGGGGTGATGGATATATTTTATAACTTGATTGTGGTGGTGGTTACATGGTGGTTGACATTTATCATAACTCATTGAACTGTACATTGAAAAAGAGTGAATTTCACCGATTATAAATTATGCCTTAATAAACCTGACTCCCCTCAAAAAAAAAAAGCACACTGCTGTCCAAATATAAGGTATTATCCATCAGACATTATCTGTAGCACGTTTTGCAGAAATTCTGAAATGTCTTTGTGAAATATGACACATGTAAAAAAAAAAAAATACAGTCCAGAAAAGACCAAATACGCTCAGGAAAATATCTGTCATTGGGTTATCTCTCTTTTGAAAAGTCCATTTCTACACTGCAGTGAATGCTGTGTGTGAGGCAGCTAGCTAGTCCCACTGGGAAGCAGCTGACCACTTGGACTATTTGGGAATTTTCCTTGTCATCACCTGCTTTTTTTTTTTTTTTTCCTTAACAAAAATATCACTAGAGTAAAAAGAAACAACAGTGTCAGAACTGAACAGTGAACATCTTCCTCCAACCCCAACCAGGAGAGTCTTTTTTCCTCCAGGGAAAGAATACAGGTATTTCTGGTTGATCTTCTCTTGGCCTGACCATTGCCATCTTAAGGAACACTATCCTCCAAAAGTAAATAAAATATAAATAACCTGCAGCCAAAGACTAGGCTAACAGACAGCAGATTTCTAAGCAGAATAGGAACTATTTATTGAGAGTGAGCCGATGCAAAGAGGAAATGCTAACAGTAAGAAAACCTGCTCGAATCCCCCAGCAATGCTGCAAAATCCCTAACAGTTTATGGGCGGAGGGCTCTGATCAAGGCTTCTTATTCAGTAGATTACATTTGTGACAACATTCCAATGCAACAAAGGGGCTGGAATAGTTCCTGGAATTCACAATAGGATCTGAACTATAGCAAATGAGAGTGAGGATACAATCTCCTTTTGATAGAAACAGGGTCTTGAAAAGACAAACTGTTGATTATCTGTGTACATAGTTTATTGCCCTACTCCCACAGGGCTCAGGGAAGCCCTGCCCATAGGAGGCGCTCCAAGAATGTCTGTGAATCTGGGAGCCAGTGTTCCATTACTCTTAAAGGTAGCCCTTGGAGGATGGGTGCCCAGCCTGGCTGCCTTACACTAAAGACTTATCTATGATCTATGTTAAAACTGACCAACAAACAATCAAACCAACTTCCCAAGATTTCTTCTTCTAAAGCCAGGCAAGTTTGTTAACAGTCCTGCCATGGAGGATCTACCACAGCCTCATTTCAACTAGCAATAGGGTCTATTACCAGGTGTGAGGGGGCAGTGGAACTGACTGATACCAAGTGTTGGGGTTACTGAGCTGAAAAATAAGTCTCTTATCAAGAAGCCCACAGGCTAGCAGGGAGGAGAATCCTGGAAACAATTATAAAAGTTTGATAAAGAAGAGCTCACCCTTGGTTGAATAGGTATTGTGCTAAGTAATGTGCCCAATAACCCTGTGAGGCAAGAACTATACCCAGTTTACAAAGGGGAAATCTGAGGTTAGAGTCTTGCCTGAGGCCATACAGTTGGTAAGCATGGGGACCAGAACTGGAACCTGAGTGGTTTGACTACAGAGCCTGTACTCCTGGCCCCTGCAGCAGAAGAATGAAGGAGTCAGGTAGGCCCTTAGAAGTGTTCTGGACCTTACATCTTGAAGTGTGGGGTAGTGTTGTAGTCCCAAGAAAAGAAGAAGCATATGGCCTCATGGCATCAGCAGTCTGGTAGACTAGATGCTCACTTTCCAGGGAGCAGTGGAGATGGAGTGGTGAAAAATGTATGAGAGCCAGGCTGTGGGACTTGGTGTGCTAAGTTTGAACTTTACCCTGGGCACTCTGCAGAGCTGTGTTTGGATCTGTTGGCTGACATGAGACTTGCCCATAAGAATGCTCACGCAGGAAACAGCTGGATTGTAGGAGCTGTGAGGTGATTGGTGGTGGGGGCGGGGGGTGGGGTGGCATCAGGAAGCCATTGTTGTGATCCAGGTGGGGCAGGCAGGCACGAATTGGGCAGTGCAAGGAGCTCCTTGGTCAGAATCTATCCAGTGGCTAGCTGGGTCCAACTCGCACAGAGACCCCTGGCTAGGACCAGCACTGGATGATGGTTTGCTGGGCTGAATCCCCTTCAGGTCTCTCGGGACCCCATGGCTCGCAGGGCAGCACAGACCACTGGCCACTGACCAGTTTCATTTTTCTAGGCCTCCATCTCCCCATCTGTAATGTGAGTGGACTTAACTAGATTGTATTTAGGTGGCTTCCTGTTCTGACATACTGTGATTTTTTTTTTACACTGGATTCTAATGGTCTAATGGTCTCAAGCACGTGAGGTTCTTGGAAACCTCGTGGACAGTCTTGGATACTGTCCAAAGGCAACAATTTGCTCTTTTTTGGTATTGTGAACAGTAAACTTGCATAAATTGGAACAATCTCTATAAAAGTTGGTTTGGCACTGTGATGATTAACTTTGTGTATTAACTCCGGTGGGCCACTATACCCAGATATTGGTCAAATATTATTCTGGATATTTTTATAAAAGTGTTTTTTGGACGAGATTAACATTTAAAATGATGGACTTTTAAATCGGAATAAAGCAGATTCCCTTCCATAATGCGGGTTGACCTCATCTAATCAGTTGAAGGTCTTAGTAGAACAAAGACTAACTCCCCCGTTTCCCCCAGCAGACTGCCTTTGGACAGTATCTGCAACTCCTCCCGGGTCTCTAGCCAGCCTCTCCTGCAAATTTCGGACTTACCGAGCCTCCATAATCATGTGAACTAATCCTTTAAAATGAATCTCTCTCTCCACGTACAGGTGTGTGTGCACACACACTGTTGGTTCTCTGGAGAACCCTAATACCGGCACTATTTACCAAAACTGCAAATGCTGGTTATGACCCATCCACATATCAGAATGTGCTACCACCACAGAAAGAGATACAGACTGTGTACTGATATGGAAAGATCTCCAAGATATATTAAAAGTAGTTGTGTATAGTGTATAATCATCTGTGTAAACAACAAAAAAAAGAGTACAAATTTTAATTCCTACTGCTTATATGTGGGGTAAAAACCCTCTGGAAAGGTACCTAAGAAACTATCAGCAGGGGTCACCTGTTGGAGGAGGGCAGTAGGGGAACTGTGTAACTGGGAAAGAGCACAGAGGGGCTTTTTGCTTTATTCCTTTTAATACTCTTTGATAAATGAACATATTCTTTGACCCAGCAATTCCACATTCATATAGTTACCTTACAAATGTAGTTCCATACATGCAAAATGACATAGATACAAAAACATTCAGTTTCAGCATTGCTTATAAAAGAATGGAAACGACCTAAACACCCATCAGTAGAAAAATGGTTAAATAAATCATCCATTTGAAAACATCGTACATTTGGTACAAAGAATGAGGCTGCTCTTTCTCTTCTGATATAAAATGACCTCCAAGTGGAAAAAAGCAAAGTGCAGGATGCTGTGTGTGCAGTATACTACTATTTGTATGGGGGGAAAAAGTCAAACTCTATGCAAAAGCATGAAATATCTCCAGAAGAACACAGAATAAACTAGTAACCATGGTTGCCTCTGGGGAAGAGAACTAGGTAACTGGGAAATGGGGGTAAGAAGGAATTATTTTACACTGTATCTTTTGAATCATGGGTACATATTATCTATCTAAAAATTTAAAAAATTTCTAAGCAGGAAGGGAGAGGTAGGAGGAAGAGAAGTCCCGTGCTAGGTGGGGGTTAAGGTCATTTGAATACAAAGCACTGATATGTTCCGCTTTTCATGTTTTTAACCTGAGTTTCCCCTGAACTGCTCTTACAAATTCCAACTTCAGACAATAGCTAATTTCACTGAAGACTCGGTGCCTTCAGGAAAACCAGGAAGATAACTTTTTAAGATCAAAGCACTAGCTCTTTGCAAGGCAGATGACTCTTTAATCCATATATAAAGACAACTGGATGCAGACCTTTTCTTCAGAACTTTTTAATTCATCATCTAACCAACAGAGGTGGTCAGCTTGAACCCAAACAAGCTAAAACAGCCTCAAAAGGCCTGCCTCATTACAACGTAACAGGGCAAAACTGGAAATAGAGTTTTGCCTCAGTTCTTTTCAGAGTAGACCAAGCATGTATTTATACAGATGCCCCATTAAAAACTGATTAGCAATGCACCACCACCACAACCATAGAGTGCAGAAATCTCCTTGTGAGCTCCCCACGTGTGTCATTCATAGTCTGCCTCTTCCTCAGCCATAAACAAGCCCTTGTTTTTTGTGGGGGAGGGTGATCGGGGTGTATATTGCACGATGGCACCATTTGTTTACTCTGGAACTTTGATGAGGAGGTGACTCAACTTATTTCCTTCCCTGAATCTGAGATGCAATAGCCTGTTTGAATATCTAACAAGTGTCCTGGGAGATAGGTGGTGGAGGTTCCCTTAACAAAGAGTTTACAGGGTAATTGTGTAGGGCTCTTTAAGTACTTAATCCTGTTGTTTTTCAGAAACCTTTGCACCTGGCTCCCAAGAAGCAAGCAGGGCCAAATCAATGCCCCACAGGCCGGAGTGAGGTGCCTCTCGGAGCAGTCACCCAAGGAAAAGGAAGAGGCAGGGAAGGGGGTGATTTGGAGGTGCAGGGGGGCAGAAATCAGCTCAAACACTCCATGCTGGTTCTGACTCGCTCCATCTCATGCAGGAAGCTGTAGAACTGAGGCAAGGTTAATTCTGGGGGGAGAAAATTCAGCTTTAGGTAAATGTTTCTAATTCCAAAGAATCATCCAAGAAAATTAGTTTCTACCCAGAGTTTTTTTTTTTCTTTTTCGACTTAGTACATCCAGGCAGCTCTTGATGGGTAACTGATTAAAAAAACAAAAACAAAAACAAAAAACCAACCAACCAAACAAAAAGAAACACCTGAGAGCCTTGAACAGAGGAAAGCTCTCTGCTCCATAAAAAAGGAGACGTGTTTAAAACGACCTAACTCCACTGCACAGAGACGAAAGGCCATTACTCAGGATGTTCAATGTGACTTCTAGAGCAAGAGCTTCTTGCTCTTCAATCTTTGCCATCTGTCTACCACCCCCACCCCCACCCCCACCCCCACATCTTCCCTTTTTCAGAAAGGCTCTTCAACTGTGGGGTCGCCAACCTGCCGATGGCTTATTAATGATCCTTGCACTATCTTTTACGAGAGGAAAGGCAGTGGTTATAACACAGCTCAGTACTGACTTTTTTTTCTGGAAGTAATGATGTGTGAGCCCACTGAGTGAAGAGAACATAGAAGCAGAAAAAGTAGAACAAAGAAGCAGCAGAAGTAGAAAGGTTCAAATGGGTATCTGGACTCACCTATATACAAATTTTCAATTTGATTTCCTTTCTTAACCACCAACTTTAACTGATGGGGAAAAAAAAAAGAAATAAAAACTTTAAATTAAAAGGAGAACTACTGGGGCCAAGAAATTCTTGAAACCTGAACTTTCACTTAAATATCAAAGCATTGTTTCTGACTTGAGAGTTATACAGAAGCAGTCTTGACTGTCCACCACCAAAACTTCTAACAATACCCAAGATTACAGGAACAATCAAACTTTTAAAACTACCTGGATCTTATCAATCTGAAAGCAAGCATGTTAGTGACCATGTCTTTGGCTGACTACATTGCTCTGAGCTATCTAAGGCACTACAGTGGAACATCCATTTAAATGGATATTTAAAGAAACCCAGTGTAGATTTAATAACTTTTAATCAAGTCAAAAATCTACCCATTTTCGAAGGTCAGAAGACTTACCTGTAAAAAAATACTTCCCACTTTTTCCAGTTCGCTGCTCCCAGATGTCACTATGACACAAAAGAGAAAACTAGTAAGTGGCTGGTTGAGGACCTACTCTAAAGACCCTAGTCTTGCAGGTTGTGCAGCAGTAGCCATGTGCAGGTGAGTATGAGGACAGCAAAATGTGCTTTTCAGGAAGTTGACTTATCGAGAGCTGTGGATAGCGACAGCTGCTGAATGTGGATGGCAATACAGAGAAGCAGCTGCTGGCCCCAATGGTCTTTGAGGACCAAGGACACCTCTTCCCATTGACGTTATCTAAAAGCCTCTGCAACCCAACCCTACATACCCAAAGGACCCGAGACTGGCTTTAACTAGTTACCTCCGAATTTCCACTCCATATCTATAAGCTGGTTAATCATCAGAGTTTGACCTATGGCCCATCGAGCAAGGGTGGGGGCATTCTGCTTCCACTGCAACAAAAGCAAAAAGCCAAAGTCATAATGATGGGAAAAATCTCCCCTCTTTGTTCTGCCCCCAACACAGCCATGTTTAGTTATTTATAAAGTAGGAAGAATGTAGAATCAAGGGTTGGGTCTACATGAACAGATATGGGGGATGGGGGCATATAGAAAGGAAGAAGACATGTTTCTTTTCAGTCCAAGACTTAATCTAGGTTGGAACAACTGCATGACATTCATATTCAGTCAAATCAGAGGGATACACTAAAAAATGCACAAAACTTAGAGACACACTAAATAGTGCTATTTAAAAGCTGGGTATATGTCATTTGCATGAAACCAAATGAAAAATATTAAGCTGTGGAAATGATATAAAATGATTGATGGTTTTTCCTTAGTTGGCAAATCCCATTTGTTTCTTTTTGTGAAATAAAAGCAAGCAATCTTAATTAACCTTGATTAAGAGGAATCATGATACCTTTTCGGAAAAGTAAGTGGCTTTCTCTTCACTAAGACCTATAAGAGAATATAAGGAGACATTAATATAATAGAGCCACAAGGCCTGTCACCCTGAGCAACCTTGGTGATGACCTACCCAGAGTTATGAAATCAGCCTGGACCTGCTCGGCTGTGAGACTCTTCTTTAAGGCACCTGAGAAACGGGAAAAAATCAGTTGAAACGAGCAAATTGATTACTCAGTTGACAGTAAATATTTAATAAGCACAACCCATAGGATGTAGATAACAAAAGAAATATGCAAAGACTCAGCTCCAGGAAGATCTCAATCCAGCTGGAGGGGAAAGCACTCCTGAGACAAGTGGAAAACAAGACAGCCTGTTTTGTTTATTGTACAATGCAAGTGTGTAACCGCCCCTCCCCAAATTATGGAAGCCCTTAGAGACAAAAGAAAAAACTCTGTGAACTTGGGGATGGGGGCAACTGATCTGATAAGGCCACAGATTCCTGGAGCAAAGTGGGGGAAGCTCAATGTCAGGCTGGGCTCAGGGGCAACAGTCTAAAACCGCATTGTGTAATACATAACCACTAAACGTGTGGTTATTTAAATTAATCAAAATTAAATAAAATTTAAAATTCTGTTCCTCAGTTGCACTTGCTATTTCGAGTGCTCAATAGCACATGTGCTGAGTGGTGATGGTACCGGACAGTGTAGATTATAGCCCATTTCCATCTACATAGAAAGTTCTAGTGGACAGTGCTGCCCTAGAAAATCAGCTTTCAGGAGGTACATCCAGATGGACTAAACAGTTTGGCCTCTACACTTCACAGGTTATGTCCAAGGAGGCCACAGAACCTTCCCCTCAGAAGCCCTGGAACATATACCCCTATGGGAGCTGCTTTGTTCTGCCTGCAAGCTCCAATTCCTGAAAACAAAGCATTGCCAGAAATCTGGTCTTCTCAATGTTTAACCTGCAGGCTACAACCTAGAGTCACAATTTGGCAACCACTTAAAAATTTTTCCACTTCTTAGTCTTCTAGATGATGACTAATTAAACAATAAGAAGACATCCATCACCAACTCCAGGGAGGGCCCTGAAGTTATACCCTAAACCTAAGTCCCTACCCCCACATCACTCCAGAAAAACAATCTTAAAGGCTGTTATCCCCTGCAAAATAAACTAAGTAAACAAAGGGAGGAAATCTTTTATCTCCAAAATCAGACGGAGCAAGGAAGCCACAGGGAAATAAAAAAAAGACAAGACCCCAGGAAACCTTGGCCATAAAGGCCCTCCAAGAAGGGGGCCACTTCCTAGCCAATCCAATTAACTCACAACTATCACACATACATACACTCCTTCGTGTATATCCAGCTCAAACCCGACACTTTGCTTGATGATCCCAAAACACCCTGAAGTGGGTATTATTATTGAAACCTTTAATTTACCAGGAAACTAAAGATCAAGCTTTGCAGGGAGAAAATTTGGAAAAGGCACACAGTCAACAATTGCACTGTTAAGAATTTGCCCAACAGATATGACCCCCAAAGTACACTGAGATACACGTGGGAAGCTCTTTAGTAATGTCGGTAGTAGAGATAAAAAGTCGGGATAGCAGGCTGCTTTCGGTGCATCCGCACAGCAGCCTAGATATCACGGCGATTTTGTTAAAACTTAAGTCACACCATGTCTCTCTGTTCAAAATCCTCTAATAGTTCTGGTTGCGCTTACAGTAAAATCTGAAGCTCTTACAATGCCCTGCATGATCTGGTCTCCTCTAGAACTCCCAAGTTCTCTCCCTTGCTTATTCAGCTTTTCCTATAATATCCTCTGCAAGTTCCTACCTTCAGGCATTTGCCCTTGCAGTTCTGCCTGCTGAGGACACTCTCAAATAGGCACAGGGCTCATTCCAACACTTCCTTCACCTCCCCTTGAATCTTACCTCCAAAAGGCTCCCTGACCACTCTATTTCAAGTGCTGCTGCTCTTCGCTTGTACCCACACACTGCTGTACTTTTCCGTATTGCATTTATAACTACACAATTTTATGTTATATGTTTATTGTCAATTTTCCCACAAGAATATCAGTTCCACGAGAGGAAGGATTTGATCTCTTTTGAGTACCACTGTGGCCCAAGCTCCTAGAAAAGAGTCTGGCACTGTTTGTTGGTTGACACTCAATGAAAACATGCTTAAAGAATCCATACAAGGGAATACCATGCAGGCTTTAAAAAGAATGATGTGCAAAATGTAATTAAACGAAGAAAAGGAAAGGTAAAAAGTCAGCACAGTATGATTCCTTTTACATAATAAAGAGGGTATACTGTATATTCTTATTTATAGCTTTAATTATATCCTTATCCAACAGCTAAGTAGGCAGATGTAAGACATATTTCTTCTGAACATATCCACAAAAACTTAAGAGTAGACATCTTTGGGAAAAGGGATTGGGTGGGACTTCTCTTCCTTTCTGTTATTTAAAAATTTTCTAGCTGCATGTAGGTTTTTTTCTTTTTTTTTATGTGAAGGTGGTAAAATTGTGAGCCATTTTGTTTCCTTTCTCGTGCTTTTCTATTATTAAAAAAATGTTATTTACAAAAAAAAAAGCGCAATTTAAATAAATTGCCCAGGGCCACAACAGCTGGCAAGTAGCAGAGACAAGTAGCTTATAGGCCAAGGGATCCCTAAACCCAAGCTCTTTCTACATCAGGTCATTCTGAGATGTTGTTCCAGTGAAGCAATAACAGGCAATGAATGCCTGGACAGTGACTGACAACAAAGGCTCCCAACCGCAGGGACCAAAGGGCAAGCTCTCCATCCTGCCATTACCTTAGGCAGGAAGGAGCCATACTTAAGTTTATTTGCGTCATGCTAGGCCTCAGGCCCTTAATTCCTTCCTTCCATCCATTCATTTTTTTAATAGAGATGTAATTGACACATAACATTAAGCTTAAGGTGTTGATTTGATACATTTATATATTGCAATACGATTACCATAACATTAGCTAACACCTCTATCACATCCCATAATTATCCTTTCTTTTTGTGATGAGAACATTTAACATCTAGTCTCTTAGCAATTTTGAAATTTATAATACAGTATTGACTATAGCTCTTAACTTCCTTTTCAGCTTTCTCCTTTGGTGATTCCTTTGTCTTAAGCACAAGACAGTCCTGCAGCCCAGACCCTATACCAAACATAAAACTGTGTGAACTCCATAGCTGGCATTGCCAGAACATCACTAGGTGAAATTTGAGAATGTTCTTCTTTAAACACAGACAGACAACTATCTGGGATAGTTTATGAAGGCAAACCCTTCATCAACAGTATGGGGGAAAACACAAGTATATGTAGGAGTGAGCATTTCAGTTTTGTCAGGAAATAGGAAGAAAATAAGCAAACATTGTTCTAGCCCCAAATCCACGTAAACTTATTCAGTGTAATAAAGGAAACCCAAGGAATAGAACTAAGCCTTGGTGAAAACTCCTGCAGGAGGAAGATGGGAGAGGATGGTAGCCTACATTCATTCAGTGATTCCTACCCTGGTGGTTGACCAGTTGAATTTACCCCTGTGAGGCTCAATGGGGAACACAGGTCATGGTCACTGTGCGTGGATTTACTGTGCACCTGCTATGTGCCAGCACTGTGCTGGGAAACATTGATGAACCCAACGGGCAACGACCTCTGCCCTCATGAGGCTTATATTCTATTGGGAGGAGACAGACCGAAACAATAATGTAAAAAATAAGTAAACCATGTGGAGTATTATAAGGTGAAAAGTGCCATAGAGAAAAGTAATAAAAAGGAGTAAGCCTGGAAATCTTGGGTAATGTAGTTCTACAGCTGATTAAATACCATTTGTAACTACTGTCCAATGCTGGTTTTTTTTTTTTTTTGCCCAGCCAGAAAGAACTCTTCTGGGAGTGGGGAAGGGGAATTATCACCTTTTTTAAAAAAAGCATTAGTTAGTGAGCACCCACATAGACAGACATCTTGCTAAGTTATTAAAATAAAAACAGGCCTAACAAGTGGCCCTATAGCCAAGTTATCTGTAATCTTGTCCTGGAAACAACTCGTAATGATAATGACAATCATAATATCAGCAGTGGTACAGCTACCATTTATTGAGCACTTTATATTTATTATCTTTCTCCATTCTTGTAACAATGTATGAGCTACTTAATATAAGCTCTGCTTTCTCCCTAAAAAAAAAAAAATAATAATTCTTAGAGAGGTTAAGTAATTTGGCTCAAGGTTTCAGAGCTGTTAATTAGCCATAGTGACAAGTAAGCATACAAGGACCACCCAGTAATCAAATGCAATGTAAGGGTCAACTATAAACAAAATGTGTGAGATAACGGGAAAATCTGAACACTGGCTGCATATTTTAATTTTAGATATGATAATGGCATTACGATTTGATAAGGGTTTGAAGAATTCCTTTATCTTTTAGAGATACATAAGTAAGTATTCAGGAATTCATTCATTATGATATGATGTCTGAGAGATTTAGATTTGTTTTAAAATAATGCAATTTGGAGAGCAGAGAGGAGAAGTGGGTGGGGTACAGAAGAAACAATTTGGCCACGGGTTGATAATTGTTGAAGTCAAGTGTTTTTAAGAATTACATACTAAATAGTAAAAGAATACCATAAGAAATCCACTAGGCTTTCGGCCAATCAAGGGAGGTTCTAGCTCAGACTTTTCCACTGTAAGATCTAAAGCAAGTTACTCCCCTTCTGTTAGGGGTCTGCTTCTTTATCTGCAAGACAAAGTTTAGACTAGATCAGTGCTTTCCATAGCTTTTACCTGACCCTCCCTCTGCCAAAAAAAAAAAAAAAAGTTCCATGATTAACTGTTTCAGATACTGGTTAAGCAGGTTTCTTTACTGTAGGATTTTTCAGAGACAAAGATATGTTAATGTATGTGAATCTCCAAGGTTCCAAGGCTGGAGAGGTGGGAAGACAGTATTTCAGACCTGTCTGACCACTGAAGTCTTTTCTGAATGAAGACATCAATTTGGGGAAGACTGATCTGGAGGGTTCTTGAGGCCCCTTCAGTGCTAATAAGCTATGCTTCTACAATGAGGTCTTACTGCAAAGGCGGGACCGGGATGAGGGGAGTAGAAGAGAATGAAGGTCTTACATTTCAGATTAGGTTGGAAGAGACCCTGAGAGCCAAATTAAGGACTACAGACTTCATTATGCAAAGTAAATTGTTGGGAGAAGTGGCAGGTTCCAAGTTGCACTGTAGAAGGGCAAAGTAGAACCTGAATGAGAGAAGAGAGGTGGAGATGTTACTGCCACAACAAGGCATGGAGGGCCAATGAACTTACTCTGGAATGGCCGCCTCTGGGCCTGGGGAAAAAAATGACACATGAAGGCCAAGGGATGAGGAAGCAGTCAAGAGACTTACAAACTACAATGTCAGATGTGAGGAGACGCTCTGGAAGAAATGGAGAATTCAAGCAGGAAAACTCTGCAGGAAAACAGTCAGATTGCACGAGGACAAAAAGAAGAGTGAAACAAACAAACTGTTGAGAGCTAACTGAGAAGAACAGCAAATCTGAGACTTCAATTCTAGAACTTGAAAAGCTTGAAAAGCTTTGGGGCATTACATAGTCAAGAGGTGAATTCAGATCCTCTCCATTAGCTGAAAGAAAGTTTTATCTCATAATTTGATATTGAGGTATGGGGCTGAAACTAACTGAACTATCGATATATAAAGCTCAAGTTTAGCAAGTACTGTATTAAGTGCTTTACATATATACTCAATTATTCCTATGCCACCACCATAAACTGCTCTTATTAGTCCATTATTCAGATAAGAAACTGAGGCTCCAAGAGGCTGATTTGTCCAAGGTCAAATAACTACATTAGGTATCGTGACCAACAGTCAAATCCAGTGAACCTGCAAAGCCCATGTCTGGATTGGTATAGTATAAGTTCTCAGTATTCTCTGCATCTATAGAAAACAATCTTCTATAAACAGTGATAATCAATTCTGCTTGATAAATATACATCCAACATCCCCTGGGAGACGCACAGGATCTCGCAAATTCAGTCCACCTCACCCAACATGTACTAAGCACCTGCTCTACGCCATTAGTTTACTTGTAACTGTAGCTTCGGAATGTCGCACATGACTTCAAGAAACTAGCTATCTGTCAGAGCCATGAGATAGACACGTACAAAGCAGTATGAACAATAGAAAAGTAAATGATTATGGTTCAAATTGAGTGGCAGATAAAAAGACCCTATCTCAGTGGGTGAGAGGAAAGAAATACCGTATCTCACTGTGGACTCAAGTGGTTTAGGAAGGCTTTCTGAAAGAGGCGGCACAGGGGCTGTGGCTCAGGGGCTGGGAAGAACTCCAGGCAGACTGACAGGATAGACTGGTGTGGGGAGCAGAGATGAGAAAGATAAGAAAGAATGGAGGCAGGGACACTAGACAGAGGTCTCCTGAAAATCAGTGTCCATGACAGCTGTTGCAAAGATGGATCTCTACCTGCAGGCAAACCCATTCCCACAGGTGTAGTCTAGACAATGAGAATAAAGACTGCTGGTTCTGTACTCGGAGCACCTTCCCTACAGAATGCTCACATACAGTCAGTACACCAATGTGCTAAGGATGTTCACTGCAGCAGGTTTTTTGTTTTGGTTTTTCTTTTTTTAACATCCCCATGAATAATCTAAACTACCAATTTGTACTTCTTAATCCCTTCATCTTTTTCATCCAGCCTCCCCACCCCTCCTTCCCATCTGGCAATCATCGTTTTCTTTTAGGAGTCTGTTTCTGTTTTGTTTATTTTGTTCTTTAGATTCCACATATAAGTGAGATTAGGAGATTCTTTCTCTGTCTGACTTATTTCACTTCACATAATTCCCTTTAGGTCGATCCATGCTGTCACAAGTGCAGCACTGTTTCTAAGAATGAAAAGTTAGAACGACTAAAATGGCCGGCAATAGGAAATGGATTAACTAAAAGATACTTTCAGTCCAAGATACACTACAGCCGACAGAAGAATGAAGTTGATGTGCAGAGAGCTCCATGATGTACTAGGTATGAAAAAATGCCAGCTGCAGAGCAATTCTATGGTTTACTAACACCTGTGAAAAACAAAACTACATGAATGTATGTGTATGTCTGTCGGTATTCGTAAAAACATAAAAGGACATACGCCAAAATCACTGTGATTATCTCGAGACAAGAGTGGGATGCCAGTAAAAGGGAATTTTCACTTTCGACCCTATAGAGCTCTACAGTGTTCTAAGTTCACAATGAAGATTTACTCCTGTGTTAAAAAGACTATAAGTTGCCATCCAGCCCTGTGGTTCACATGCCTTTAACCTGCCATGAGGGCAAAGAATACAAGAATCACACAAACAGGATCATAAATTTCACAGCTGGAAACCTCGGGGATGATTCAAACTCCCAGAACCTCTGGAGACAAGACTGGGCAAGGAGAGGATCTGAACTAGGGTATGCGAAGGTACCTGACAGTACCCCAACTTTCAGTGAACTGATGGGCTGAAATCTTGGGAAAATCGGCTTATTACTGATTTTTAAAATGTACAAACCAGCGATGCTGTTTTACCTCCACTCAGCCTAGTCAACATGTATTTTAAGACTGGGCTCAAATGTTGCTCCTCTTTAAATAAAACATGTTCTTTAAGACTGGGCTCAAATGTTGCTCCTCTTTAAATAAAATTAACTTTTAATTAAATTGACAAATTAATTCTAGCAACTTTTTAGATAATACATAGCCAAAAATAAACAATTAAAACAACCTGCAGTTCTACTACACAGATATAGCCACAGTTAAGTCTTTCTCTTTCTCTTTTTCCTTCCTTCCTTCCTTCCTTCCTTCCTTCCTTCCTTTTCTTTCTTTTTTTTACAAAAATAGGACTGTGGTAGAAAGCTTTGTAAACTACTATTTTTAATAAACAGTATATTGTGAAAGGTTTTCCAAATCATTACATCTTCTCAACAGCATTTTTTAAAATTACAACATAGTTTGAAAAAAAAGGAGCAACTTTTTACTGAGGTATACTATGCTAGGCATTTTATTTACATTATTTAATTAATCTTCAAAAGCCGCCCCCCCCCGCTCACACAAGCTTAGATGGGGTAAACATGTTAAGGAGGGATTGTTGCTAGTGGTTGGGGGAGATGGGTACCTTGCCAAAGTCAAACTACTTATCAAGTGACAGACTGGGACTCACAATGAGGTCCACCTAACTCAGAACTGTGAATTCTTGACCGCCAGGATGTTCCCCAGAAAAAATGGACAATAGCTCCTTAGACCAATCACCAGCTGCAGCGTAATTTGACTGTTTCTGATTTTTCTCTATCATAAACAGTGCTGTGATGGACAGCTAAACCTTCGTGATCACCTCCCCCCCCGGCTAGAAACTTCCTGACTACTCTAGGCACTCTGCTTCTGGAACGTCTGTGGCAAAAGACCTACCTATCTTTTTAATTTTCAATCCATTCCAATATTTTTCTAAAATACAATGAAAATTAATTCCTAGAAATAAGAAATGAAAAAACACAGATAAAATACCAGCCCCAAATGGTTAAAAAAAGTTTATGTTATATATATTTTACCACATTAAAAAAAAATTCCAGCCCCAATTAAAAAATGATTAGATTCAAGAGACTTTGTCAAATTGCTACAAAAATTTCTAAACGTTTACTCTCAATTTCTGTGCTTATTGCGTAGAGGACCAGATAGCAGTTTGGGGACTGAAGCCAGGATGCAGGCTGTACTTTGAACTGTACCTCTATTATACCACACCAGGGTTATCTGTTTACCTGGTTCCCTACCTAGACTGAGACCCGCCCATGTCTGGTTCACTACCGAATGCTCTGGCTCAGTGCCCAGAGCACGCTTGTCGACTCTGTGGACTGAAGGAATGTTCAAGTAATGTCTCTGACCTCAGCTGCTGAGAGAGGCTACTCACCATTTGGAACCAGAAGGAGGCTTTTTACGATGCTTCTGAGGGGGCCAAGGCTGATCTGATTGGTGGTGGCAAATTCAGAGAGCTGAGCCAGGAACCTTTCTACCTGCAGAGAGAGAACAGCACAAACCAGGCCTTCACTTTCGAAGCATCTCAGGACTACAGACCCACACTCAGGAACTCTACTTATCATAAAATACTTTACCTCTTTTGGCTCAGTTAGGAAGTGAAAAAGCACTTCTGTCAGGGCTGAGAACTGCTGTGAATAGAACACAGAACATCAGTAAAATCCTATTCCTGGTCAGTGTTCCCACATCCCATCCAACTATAGACCCTTAAGAGAGAGAGAGAGAAAAAAAAACCCCACCAGTGTTGATACTTGTTTCGATCATCTTAAAGTTAAAAATAGTCACAATACCCACCACCGGTGTCAATATATCTATGTCGCTATATTGTCTGAAAAACTTGTATATTTTATTTGGATACTTGGGAGATACACATGTGCACACATATATCTCAAGAGTCCAAATACACACGAGGAAATACATACACGGCCTGAAAGGGAAATTCACTGGAACACTGGAATATTAATAGCAGTTACTTCTTTTGTTTATACTTCCACGTATCATTCAAACATAAGCCAATCCAAATATGTAATTTCTCCCACCCCCACACGTAAATGGTAACATACCATATAAACTTTTTCTCTATCTAGCTTTTTAAAAGCAGCTACTTTTGTGTGGTGAGATTTTGGGTGATTTTTAATTTCTTCTGTTTTGTCTGTCCATATTTTGTTTTTTTCACCCATAATAAACATGTGTGTATATACTTTATTGTTTTATTACAATATTTAATATATAATAAAATGGTAATGTTTAACACTTTATTATATATTGTCTTAGAACAGCCTCTTATTCTTTTGTACATGTAAATCTTCTCTTTATTGGTATTGTAAAGGACTGGATGTTTGTGTCCCCCAAAATTCCAATGTTGAATTTATTACTGTATTTGGAGACAGAGCCTATGAGGAGGTAACAAGGGTTAAATGAGGTCAAAGGTGGGACCCTAATCCCAAATGGCTGATGCTCTTGGAAGAGGAAGAGACAACAGAGCTTTCTCTGTGTGAGACACATGTCGTGTGAGGATGCATGAGAAAGCAGTTATCTGCAAGCCAGGAAGAGAGGTCTCACCAGGAACTAAATCTGTTGGCACCTTGATCTTGGATTTACGAGCCTCCAGAACTGTGAGAAATAAATTTCTGTTGTTAAAGCCACCTAGCCTATGGTGTTTTGTTATGGTGGCCCAAGCAGATTGAGACATTACTTTCCCTTGTTTCCTCCCAATGGACAGTGCGGGGCACAGTGGGGAAAGCTAAGACACAAGAGTTTAAAAGACCTAGATGTGAATTGGTGTTTTTGCTACTGACAACTCAAGTGACCTTGGAGAAGTCATTTAGCCTCTGTGTCTTAGTCCCCATAGGGAAAACAAAAGTAATAATACATAGCATCCAGAATATACTAAAGGTAGCATAGGCAAAGCCTCTAGGATAGAGGCAAATGTTAGCAATTATCATGGCCATAATTAGTCACTATACCATTTGATCCACCTTCCTGAAGCAATACATTAAAAAAAGATTACATGCAGATACTTTAGCTCAAAGTCTCCAAAGTTGTACATGTGACATGATTGCCAAATGCACCTGCCCCTTTTGCTATGTCCCACTAAACTCCACACAAACTCCTGGCACGGCTCTGTATTATTTTATTCAAAAATGTATTGTTTTAAAATTAGTCTTTGAACATATAAAAAATATGTGCAAGGTTTTGAAAAGATCCAACTAGCATAAAAGATTATAAAATGTCTCTTTTCCCCTGCCCCTACCTCAGTCCCACTCCCCAGTTATTGCTAACACCTCTCTTGCTTTCCCATTATTTTATACTGAACCCACTCTCTGCACCTTGCCTTTTTAAACTCAAGTGAGCAGATATAAGTCTACCCAGCTCTTTTCACAACTGCATGACATTCTATTATATAGTTAGCATAATTTAGCTTCCTGGAGATGGCCATTAGTGTGTGTGTGTGTTTTGTTGGTGTTGCTATAAACAATCCTGCAATGAATATCTTCCCATATATTTCTTTGTGACATATGTCTATAAGATAAATTCTTAAAATGCATCCTAGGTCAAAGGATATATGCATTTTGAATTCTGAAAAAATGTTGACAAACTGACTTATAAAGAAGTTGTACAGATTTACACTCCTACCAGCCAATGGCATAGAAGTGTCTGCTTTCTCAAAACTTGAATATTCCCAGGAAACATTTTAACCAATGCTGATCCAGGAGTGGCCTTTCTGCAGTATTTATGATAGTGGGTATTAACCTTACCTAACTGTTGATTCTATAGAGTAAAAACAAAAACATTCAGGACTGGCTTGAGAATGTATCTTCAAACTATTTGTTAGTTTTTCATTAATAATAATAACATTATTATTATTATTATATTATTTTGCTGGAAATCGGTGGAGCTGTCAAATCTTTGGCCAACTGCATTTCCTATGCCACCCAGCACCTTCTAAAAAATAGGACGGCTGAGAAGCTTCCAACTGCTTTTCCATTTCCAGGTCCCAGCCTAACATTCAGCCTAACACTCCTTGTGAGGTCTCATCCCCCACCTCCCCTCTTAAGAGGGGCCCGAAGCTAATCTGGTCCTTAGGCTGCTACACACCCACATCCCTATCTCCACTCCAAACCCTCCTACTCCTTCAAAGCCCAGGCCAAGATACCAGACACTCCCAACAAAAAAGGGACCTACCCAGATTCTTCTGAAGCTCCCTTTTGGAACCTCACCTGGGGGCACTTAGAATTTTCAATCTTGATAAGGAACAGGAACAGGAACAAGTTTTAGCAGAGATGGTTCCTTGTATGGCTTTGTATGGTCACAGCAACTTAATTATTATAAGGAAACAGTTTCAATTGAATAAATCTTCCCTGAACACTTTCTCCCATTCTTTGCCTTTGTACCTGCACAGATGTCTCCCCCTGGAAAGTTCACCAGCCTCTATTTGAAAAATCAAAATCTTAACTATTCTTACCAGTAAACATGAAAAGATGCTCAAGGTCACATTCTAGAGAAATGCAAATCAGTAAAACAAGGAGATACCAGGTTTTTTTGGTTGTTTTTTCATTTATCGGATCTTTAAAAATAAAAGTCTGATGACAGGAGTCCTGGTGGAAGTAGAAAAAAACAGAAATGCTCACTGCTGATGAGAGGATAGACTAGGGCAACATTTCTGGAGGGCAATTTAGCAATCTGCATCTAATTTTTAAATGATCATACCCCTTGACCTAGTAATTTCACTGCAAATATACCCTTTAGACATGTTCAAAAAAATAAACTCAGACACATTTACACAAAGCAGTTAGCTGACAGCATTGTTCACAAAAACAAAAAAAAAACTGAAAGCAATATAAGTGTCTATTAATAGGAGACTGGTTAAATAAATTATGGTAGATCCATTTCAAAGAATGTCATGCAATCCCTTTTATGTACAAAATTTTTTTATGAGATATCTAAATATGATGGCAGATACAGACTTTTTTTCCTATAAATACACAAGAAACTATTAAAATGATGATTTCTGGGGACAAGAGAAAAGAGTTTTAATTTTATACCTCTGAATACTGTTTGAATTGTCTAACGTGTGTATGTTGCTTTCATTTATAGCTAAGTGTAGGCCATGTTTTTCTTTACATTTTTCTAAATTTATCTCATAATCATTCTAAAAGTGATTATTTTATAAATCCACCCATTTCCAAGGTTCCACATGACCTAGGACATCAGAGAGCACATTCAGATACACTTAGTACTGTATTTCATATCCATTTTCTGACCTGCCCTAGTGAGTCACAACTTCCCCAGCACAACAGGCCATGTCCATTAGTCTTTGTAAACATCACTGGGTTCGGTGGCTAGTTGGTATATAGTTGGCATTCAGATAAATATCCACTGAATGAGCAATAAATGGTGATGCCTATATTAATATAATGATTCTTTTTTTCTCATTGGGGCCTAGGCCTCAGATCTCAAAATAAATTCAGCTAATAGTGGGTACCAAGAGAAGTTTGATCACACAGCAATAGGGGAGAAAACAGCCCAAAGGATTCTGGTAAGTTGCTTACCAGGAAAAAGCTTTCTGTATTAAAAACAAAGGTAGAGGTTTAGACTATGTTTCAAGTTAGAAAATGAGTCAAGCTCTGACCTTAAAGGAAGTGGTTTATATTTTCTATGACTTCCAAGTTGGAGGTAACCTTAAGGATTAACCTACAATCCAGTAGTTTAAAGCTTTTTTTTTTTTATTATAGTAAGCATACAATATTATATTAGTTTTGGTGTATGTTTAAAGATTTTTACAGTAGTCTTCCTTATTCCCTAAATGGAAGTCTTCCAGAAAATGCTGACACAAACAAGTAAAAACTAAGCTACCTGGTTCGGGAGATCATCTACAAAGCTCCGTTCTAGTGTGTTTAATTCCGCAGGATATGAATGAAGTCAGACATCCGGTCTTGAATTCCTGGCTCCACTAATTCTGGGCTGTCTGACTTTAAACAGGTCTACTTATTTCTCTCAATCATTTTTCTTAACTGTAAAATGGGAATAAATAACGCCTAACATTTAGCGGTTATACATAAAGCACTTAAAATAGTGCCTGACACATGGTACATGCTCAATAAATGATAGTTATTTTTATTTAACCACTCTGTAATTCAGTATCCTCACCTGCAAAATGGGGATAACAATACCGACCTTGTAGGGTGGTCACAAGGGCTCAAAGAGTTAACACACATAAAAGCACTTAGAACTGTGCTGTCCAGTATAGTGGCCACTAGCTAGCTACTTGTAACCACTGAGCACTTGAAAAGGGCTAATTTGAGATATGCTATAAATGTAAAATACATACCAGAATCAGAACTTAGTACCAAAAGTAAAATATCCCAATGATATTTTTATATGAATTATAAATTGAAATAATATTTTGACATAGTGGATTAAAGAAAAAATATTAACTTCTTTTGTTTTGATTTTTAAATGTGGCTGCTAGGAAAATGTAAAGTTAGACATGTGATTTGCAATTTATTTCTACTGGACACAGCAGCCTGAAAACCTGACTGGCATTATAAGTACTGTCACCATTACTTTATGAGAAAACAGTTAAGTTGTGGGAGATCTGAGATGAAAGAAAAAGCCACACTCTCTTGGGAAGTTACAATCAGTAACAGAAATGCACCTTTGCAGTGGTGCTGAGAAGTGTCACTTTAAGCTATTTATTTTGGCTGTCTTGGTGGCATGAAAGAGGCATCCCAACCAGCGTAGGAGCAGGAAGCCTCCAAGGTTGACTGGCTAGCACCAGTGGCCTGCGAAGGAACAAACCGGCTTTGCCAGCTTCACTACCATCAAGGCCGGGCCTTACACAG